TTTGGAACAAAAATTCCCAGGAGGAAGAAATGTGATGCAGTAGGAGCCTCCATCTGAACCCCCTCCAGGCTGGAAGAGATGATAACCAAGTTCTTGTCCCTATACAGCCTCCCACTGAGATTGTCAATTATATTTCTTGTGTGAAACTGTTGACATAATCAAGCACAGGCATGAAAACAGAAGCAGTATAACTAAAGAAAGATCTTTATTTTGTCAGAGAGTTGTTTTTCCTATGAACCAGGAGAAAACTAGGACACAGAATGCAAGCATTATGATTAACTTTCAAGAGAAGCTAAAATTATCCAGGATTATACAAATATAAGCAGTTTTGATCTATTTCCTGTTACCAAAAACAATTCAGCATTGAAGACAAATTAAGGGGTTTGGGGTAGTGTATTTTAGGCTGTGTTTTGGGGGTTTTTGCAAAAACTCTACAATGAGGCCAATGTATTTTCAAGAAGTAAACTCAACATACCATTCTGAAAACTCTTTAACAAACCTTGGAAGCGTGAATTTAAATTTTGCCTTAAATTCCATATAGGAACTGTCCAAAGCAGCTCTAACCAAAGTCAAAACAGGAACTAGCCTTATTACTTGCAGTCCCTACAACAGTGGCTGCCAGTGCTCATTCCTCCAACTAACCAGATGCCAAACGATCCAGGAAAGAAAATCTTTTTTGCATTTCTCACATCCCTCTATGTAATCCCACTCTCTCTGGCATTTTCCCTGCTTTGTGTCTTTTCTCAGAATGTCCCAAAGCAGTGAGCTTTCCCAGTCCTGGTGTGCTCACCTGCATCTGAAACTAGATGTCTGGATCAAGGGATAGAACACCTTGTATCTAACAGCATAAAGGATGGGATGTGGGGAACACCTACAACAAAGGTAATTTAAGGGCTGACCTATACAGCCTATTTTTTACACCCAAGTACTCAGGAAACCAACTATGCATCACTGTCATTCAAGATATCATGAAGAAGAAATTGTGGCAGCAATTTGCTCAATATGTACTTACTAACACTGCCACTTTATGACTCTCTAACATATCATACTCACCATAATACCAAAACACATTCTATGCTTGGGATGTTCCTGGCAGCACAAGGACATGCTCTACAGAGGGACATCTGGACAGGCTGGATCAATGGGCTGGGTCCAGCTGAATGAGGTTCAACCCCCAAGTGCTGGGTCACATCATTCCCAGGCAGTGCTACAGGCTGGGGCAGAGTGCCTGGAAAGCTGCCTGGAAGGAAAGGACCTGGGGATGCTGGTTTACAGCAGCTGAACATGAGCCAGTGTGTGCCCTGGTGGCCAAAAAGGCCACTGGCATCCTAGCCTGTATCAGCAGCAGTGTGGCCAGCAGGGCCAGGGCAGTGATTGTCCCCCTGCACCCAGCCCTGGTGAGGCTGCAGCTCAAACCCTGGGCTCAGTTTTGAGCCTGTCACCAGAAGACACCGAAGTGCTGGAGTGCATCCAGAAAAGGGAATTAAGCTGCTCAAGGGTCTGGAGCACAGTCTGATGAGGAGAGGCTGAGGGATTTGGGAGTGTTTAGCCCAGAGAAAAGGAGGCTGAGGGGGGAAAACCTTTTCACTCTCTACACCTGCCTGACAAGAGGTTGTAGTGAGGTGAGGATGGGGCTTTTCTCCCAAGTAACAAGGCACAGGAGGAAAGGAAACATCCTCAAGTTGTACCAGGGGAGGTTTAGTTTGGATTTTAGGAAAAATTTCTTCATGTAAAGGGTTGTCAAGCATTAGGAGAGGTCACCCAGGAATGTGGTGTAGGAACCACTGAAACACCTGCAGGTATTTAAAAGACATTTAGCTGGGGCACTTGGACATTATTGAGTGGGGGACTTGGCTGGGTTAACAGTTGGATTGGATGGTCTTAAGGGTCTTTTCCAACATAAATGATTCTATGATTCTATGACATAAGTTACTGAAAAGATTTAAGATCAAATAAAGTGATTCATTCTGTTTGCCTTGTCAGTTTATCTCAAAAAAAGAAAACTTTAAAAAACATTTCAGACTAAAGCACCATTCCTGAAGCTTTGCCAAAAGCTTTCTTGTGTCACTGCATTGCTTATCAAGAATTTTCAAATAAAATGCACTCTGAAGGCTGCTCCTGTACCTACAGAAGGCAGCAACTCCCACTGTAATTGTTAGGTACTGACTGTGAATGACAGGCTGCAGTTCTAAAAAACATCACTATATATTTTCCGAAATAACCACAAACCAACAAGAAATGTTTGAAGAAGGCTATAGGACGCAGAAGGAAAGTGCTCTGTTTTGAACCCTCTCCACTTTTTCAAGTGCCATGTTTTACAGATACGCAGTGAGGATTTGTTTCTTCAGGGCAGATACACCTCACACTTCACACAGAAGCCACCAAAATGTTCCTGAGTGTCACGGAAGTTCCAATACTCCTCCCCACTTCAGGGGACAGGCAGCTGCCTGCCTCTGGTGTCCTGCAGATTGCTGGCTGCCTCCTGCTGGCACTGCAGCAGTTTGTTCTGTGGATTAACAAGCAAATGCAATTGAGGTTAAAACAGGCAGTGCTATTTCTACCTAAGAAAGCCTTTCATCTTCACAGGAGGATTTTTAATGGTAGCAAATGATAATCAAGTTGAAATGACTTCTCAAATCTGCTGCTGAATCTGCACTTAAAAAAAACTTTCAGTTCAATTTCAGAATTTAACACAGCTCTCAAACAAATTACTAATAAAAACCATACTCTCATTTGGCGTAAACCTATACAAAACACCAAATAAGGCATCTTGGTCTTGCAGCTTTAACACTCTGCTGGCATTAACGAATAACTGTATATTCACTGAAAGTTATTTTTACAAAATGCTTTAAAAATCCAAGCAGAAGATTACACCTATGTACATTTCACAGCAGTCACTGACTATAAACTCCTATTTAATACAAAAGAAACAACTGGCCCTTACTGGAGTCGCATATTGGCACTCCATTACTTAATCTTAACTGCAGCCATGATATTTTCTGAAAAATCCTTTCCTTAGGATTTTTTCTCCTGGGAAGCTGAGTGGCCTCAGGAACAAAATGTAAACAATGATTTTCTGCTGCTGTGGAATGCAACAGGTGGATCTGTGATTGGTCTCATGTGGCTGTTTCTAATTAATGGCCAATCACAGTCCAGCTGTCTGGCCTGTCTCGGTCAGTCACAAGCCTTTGTTATCATTCCTTTTTTATTCTTAGCTAGCTTTCTGATGAAATCCTTTCTTCTATTCTTCTAGTATAGTTTTAATACAATATATATCATAAAATAATAAATCAAGCCTTCTGAAACATGGAGTCAACATTCTTGTCTCTTCCCTCATCCTGGGACCCCTACGAACACGGTCACACTTTTAATATATTAGGTCAGTAACATGGGCAAATTTTATTCCATTCTTTTATGCTTTCATTCCCCAGCCAGATGTTTTGAGAACATTGTAAACATTGCAAACAATGATCTAAAACCCTCTCACACCCAATGAAAGGCTCAATTCTGCTCTTCCCAGCAGCACACACACACTTTCCCCTTCAGTTGGTTGGGTACCTCCCCACATCTAGGCAAGACTGTCTTAAAGGCCAACTTCATATCCTGTTATCCTCCTTTGGCCTAGGCTATAATTGTCTAAGCTCCCTACACAGTCAACAAAGACTCTATTTGGGAAGGCAGCTATCTCAACACAAGATAAATACACGTGCAGTGAGCTGCACCCCGTGCCCAGTGCTCCAGTGACTGCAGGGGAAATCAACACAGCCAGTACAGAACTTGCAACCTGCCTTGGGCAAACCGGTCAGGCAAGCTTGATTTTTTTAAGTGATGAGAAAAAAATATTGATAGGCAGAACCATGAGCAGTAAGAACAGCTAAATAGGTAGTGACTATTCATGATTTCTTCACAATAAAAGAATAAGGGCAGGAAATGAGCCTATAACAGAAGGGAAACATTTTCCTACGCTATTTTACTGAAACTCACAGCATTAGAAGTAACAGTTTTATTGGGGTCAAGAAAAGCAGATGGCATCACTAAGGAAAGAGACCTAAGGTTACTGAAAACAAAATACATGGTTGCAATTCCTATCTCTTAGAACATCACCCACAAAATGTCAGATGCTGGAAGAAAACCAAAACAGAGCATCCCAGCACTGCATACCCTCATCACTATTGACAGGGCTCTCTGCACATCCCTCTGCAGCTGAGCTCAGTCAATGAAGCAGTTCTCTCTAATCCTCAGTTGCAACACTAGATGGCAGGGAAACATCTAACACACCTACAGCACTGAGAGCCTGGAATGCAGTCTGCAGTAGTTAAGGGTTAGTGCAATGCAGCAATCTCACTTTCATACACCTGGATTTGTTTTGTATCCTTACATAGCTTTGGGCAATGATTTCCAAGTGTAATGCTGTGTTCATAGACCCATAGGTTAGTGATGTCAGGATAAATTCTGTCCCTGAGATTCCTTGCCCTCTCATTTAAGAAACCATGGACAATTGTAAAATATCTGTTCTCCAGAAAGATCTTTCAACTCCAATTGTGTGTTGAAATCCTAATGATCTCCATCTCTGTATAGATACAGCACCATAACACTTACCTTAACACCTCTTTTTTTCTAAAAATTCACTTTTTAATTGAAAATTCAAATTACTTGTGAAAAATGCTGCAAAGGGGCAATGAAACAAGTTCTGCTGCTTACATAGCTGCAGACAAGTCCATAGAAACTGTTCTTCAGACCATACTGACCTTCCTGTCAGTACACGCTCTCTCTTCTGCAAAGAGGAAAAACTTCAGACTTGTAACATTCTGCTCAAGATCCCCCTCAAACTGTGAGAGAAAGGTATGAGCTTTTCTGATGAATGCCAAGTCTGAGTTTCAAAACATGTCTGTACATTTAAAGGACAGCACCTCTGCACTGCAGCACAACTTGCTGCTTTCCAAATTACAGATGTTTCCTAGAATGTTGCTGGCAGTAGAAGTGAAAGTCTGACATTTAAGTCCTGCTTTCTTCAGAAAATTTAATGAAAAATGCAGACAATTATTGGCATGGGTGGTAACACTCTCCCTTTAGAAGGGCAAAATCAGCACATGATAATTATTCTTCTCATTCAGCTTTGTATCAGTTTCTCAGCCATACAGAGATGTTGATGCCTTCTACTACATCTTTTGAAAATCTGCAGGAAAAAAACCCAAGGTCAGCAAACTGCTTTTTAAGCAGTGACACTCCAGAAGGAAGGTCAAGTAATTAAGCCACAGACTACAAGTAATATGTAAGGTAGCTGCTGAAAGTGATGTTGGCACACACATCACAGAAAGTCACTGAACTGGATTTTGATTTTCATAATGAATGATAAATGGAAAGTTTGTTTCATTTCTGAAAAATAATTTAATACAAAACTTTAAAAACACTGATGTGCAAGTCTTCGCTGTGTAAGAGGAGGAACATTTTCACACTTTAAAACAGTTTAAAACATTTGTACATAACAAACAGAAATTCTCTTTTATATAAACAAAGTGTTTCTTTGCCAACAGCAATTGTCAATTCCAAAGCACAGAATTAAGATGACAGGAGAACCAGACAGTCTAAGTCACTGCTATTTGTGTCCAAAAAAGTTATGCCACTCTTTTCTTTCTACAGCTCATCATGTTTGTACGTGAATTCCCTTGCAGATATAAACCCATCACTGTCTTCATCCTCTTTATCAAATATGTCTTCCACCAAAGCATCATGCTGGGTGTCATTTACCACTGCTCCATGCTTTTCAAATTCTTTCTTCAAGTAAATTTTCACCTGTTAGACAAAAGGTGAGAATGAATATTTTCAGACCTATGAAAGAGTTGATTTCTGCAGCCTAACAGAGGGATGCTATGCTCAGGATGGTGGTATTAGATAACAGATTCCTCCCTCCTGTGGCACTGCCAGAATAGTACTTATCTAACTGACTCTGCAGTCTCTTTGAATGAAGGGTCTTTAGTGATAGAAGTCACAGTAAAACTAGCAAAGCTGTTGCCATACCTTTATGGTATCTGACTCAAAAACTGAGTCAGAATTGCCTCTCTTCTGGTCTCGATGTCTATACAGTAAAGTAAAAATAGCTGGGCAGAAGTTATTAGCTACCAATTGGTCAGAGACAGCTTGTCCACATTCCAGCACCCTGACAACCCAGTACATGTAAACAGCCACTCCAGATATATACTCCACAATCTCAGTGTTTGCTGCTCCAATGGGAAATACATTAGAAGATTTCTAGATATCTCAAAATTTTAAGGATGCAAGGATTTTTAAAGGAATTTAAACTCAAGGCAGGTTTTAAACAGACCATTGGAACACTGACTTACATTAAGCTAGATAGTTATGGTAAGCAGCGTTTTCAACATCAGATTGCTTTTATTAAGTTTTTAAGGTTTTACTATGGAGATCCCAAGTGTTCTGAATCACAGAGCCTTCTACAAAAACTGTAATACCAACATATTCATCTGTTAAACAGATACCACTTGTATAAGAAGCATGGGCCATGTTTCAGGTCTGTTTTAGTCACTTCAGTCTCTGGGATTTGTTAGGGCTAATGTTTATATTCCTAATATGCAGACATTACACACACAGACACTGTCTGATGCATACAAATGATTAATTAGCCTTCTGAGTCTGGTAAACTGGTGCCAGACCCAAATCAAAAAGAACCCAGTGGTTTACACTAGCTTCTCATGGATCACTTGCTGAAAAAGCAGAAGTTTGAAAATGAGAGGCAAACAGATGGTGAATAATGCTGAATACATGTCCGTCACAACAAAATAGGATTGCCCTGCAGCAGAAGAGATCCCAGTTTATTAATAAATCAGCAATTAAATCCAAAAAGCCCTGAAGTCTGGTTTTATTTCTAAGATGCTTTACTTTATCCAAGTCTTCAACAAGTGTGCAGCACATGAGTCACATGTCTATCCTCAGCTTACCAAGGCTCCTTTTGAACCTCTAATCCAGAATTCTCACTAGGATGCAAGAGAGCAGTGTAGCATAGATGTGCATTCTTTTCCACTCTCCCATCCTGTTAGATTTCCTCACAAGAGAAGGATAACCCACTCACCTCTTGCTTGGATAGTTTCCAATCATCATTAAGATCCATCTCTTGGAATGACTCATGAGACCTTGGTCCATTTCTAATTTCTAGAAGGTCAATGTTGAAAATCAAGGTGCTCTCAGGTGGAATTTTTCCTGCCCAAAATGGAGAAAAGTTGAAACCAACTATATATTCAATGCCATACAAAGGCCACATGCATCAGAGCAATGTTCAGCAAGCCCAGTCATTTCAAAGCATCCTGCAGTTTGAACCGGTAAGGACAAGTATCTGAAACAATGATGACACAGCCATGTCAGCCTGTAGCCTGGATTCTGAGCAGCCCCTACAGGATAAATGCAACTTTAGATGCAGCTGTTTGGTTGGGGAGTAGTAGGTGCTGATGCAAGCTCTTATTCAGCAATTAGCATCACAAGTTTATCAAACAATGATCTTGAATCTTTTTTCGTTCATGGTCAGAGCCAGATAAACTGGAAAACAGTAAAGGAGACTGCACAGTCAGGCTACAGCCAAGACTAATTACAGGGCAGCAGGAAGGGGGAATTTAGTCCTCTGGATATCCCAACAGTCCCCAAATTCCTCTCCACTGCCAGCTGATACCTTGTACCTGCTGTTCTGCCACTGGAAAAGCTCTTGCAGGAGGGATGATGTCGGTCTCCCACAGCAGTCTCTGGACTCAGGGCACAAAGCACTGAGCTATTTCCAAACACAGCAGAAACCAAGTACCCAAACCCGATCACAAGAGCTGTGCTACCACAACAACATTTCTGATGTAGGAGAACAGACTGGTAACTTCCTAACAGTGCCACAGAGCACTCCCCATGCCACCACACCTCAAGGATATCAGTTCATCAGGCACTGGCTTTGACAGAGATGTGATATGCCCTCATGCTGATGGCCAAATCTACTGTCCAAGACCTTTTAGCACATCACTTTGCTCCTTTATACAGAGACAGGTTGAACAGCATCAAATATATCCCTATATTGGACAGCAGCCCCCCAAAAATTATTTCTGTGCCTTGAGAAGACAGGGAAAAATAATCCACATCTACCACTTTGTAGCTATCGTGTTAAATACACCCTGAACTGCAGCAACAAACAGGTTTGAAGATTTCTGGGATGAAAAAATGTGCAGAATCTTCTGGAAATACAGGGCACAGTGCCCTGTTTAGGGTTTGAAACACAGGTAATTTTTTGAGTGTTACAGAAAAAGGCATCTGACTCAAATGATGAGTCAGAAAGCAACCAAGGTGGGAGGCTAGTGAAATTATGTGCATTTGAAGGAAAGTATGAAGAAAATGAAATAATTCTGTCTTCAAGGGTATCACTTGAAAACAGGAACATAATAATGCTCAAATACTTCAGTCTTCCTAAAGCAAGTAATTTCTTACAGCAGTTAGCAGTGTTTAGCTGTTTAACCTTTGTTGCATTAAACACAGAGGTGAGGCTTGCATGTCTTTGAAGAATAACTACAGTGCTTCACATATTAATCAAACAATTAGGCCTGTGATGACTACGTGAGCACTGCAGCATTTCACATCTTTTTGTGGAAAAATTTACAGCTGAGCTCTGCATAAAGACTGAATGACAACCACAAAGTTCCCGTTCTCTACTAGAAACATGATTACTTCTAATACTGTATCTTGAACCATAAACCAGGGCTTCTAGAAGAATGTGTGTTGAACGGGTACATTTAATAAAGGAGAGTATGAAGTGTGCTGTAGGCATGAGGTAATATGGAGCCCTAAGCCTGTGTGCAGCCCTACTTGCCATAAGACACAGACACACAAACAAGTCCTCATTCCCAAAACAGTCTCATAGTGATGGGAGGGAACAGCAGCAGAATGGACTGTATGCTCCTAGACATTCATCCTTCCTGCTTTGGAACCTTCCACTACCTTAGATCATTTGTTGCAACTCTTGTCATGACATAAATATCCACAAAAATTGCTAAAAAAAGTTAACTAAAACAAATCCCATAAAGCACAAGTAGAACCATTCAAGCTGTCACTTGCTTAATTGCATATTCCAAATCTGGCCCTCCTGTTAAAGGAATCTGGAAATATTTGAAAGGAAAAGCCCCAAATAGCCTCAGTAGTAGAGAGGTTGAGATGTTTCTATCTGTCTGCACAGCAGTCAGTGCATTTTCAGTAGGTGACAACGTGACTGCCCATGCACACCTTACTGTGGATAACAGGGACCACTGCCCAAACTGAAAATAGCTGTAAGAGAGAAAGAATTAATGTTGCCATATGGACAAATAAACAGTGACTTCTTGCTGTATCATCTAAGAACTGGTTGGGCAGCAGTACTGGGAGTTTCTTAGGGTTCTAAAAGAAACCTGAAAGCAGGAATGAGTCTTGCAAATGCACATTCATGAAGCATTACCACAAAACCAGATCCAACAGCCAAAAAGCCAACCGTTACCTAAGCAACCACCTCCACTTGACTGAAAAGAAAAGAGAAAAAAAACAAACTACAAAACAAAAATAAAAAGCAGGGCACTGAGCTTCTGCTGTGCTTCTGTTGAGCACAGCACTAACAGAAAAGACACTCAGAACATACAGCACAGCAACCACCATCAGTTTCTGGGTTTTTTTCCCCTGCATTCATAACACAGCCACTTAATGGATATTACTGCAGGAAACAAATTTATGAGAAAGGGCACTTGATGCCCTCAGTTTTTCTTCTTTAACAGAATCAACCTGGAAAGCTTGAAAGCTTGCTAACCTCTTAGGCAAGAATAACAGTAAAATACAGGGATTAGAAACAATTAGAGCAAGGGGAGTGCTTCAATGTTTTACCTTTCCCTTCTTTTCCATAAGCAAGGGCTGGTGGAATGGTCAGCTTCCGTTTCTCTCCCACACACATGTCCTTCAGCCCTCTGTCCCAGCCTTTGAGAGCTTCCCTGATGCCAAGTGTAAACCACATAGGTTGACCATTGTTGTGCTTGTGACTGGAAAAGAAAGGAACAAAACACTTCCTATTTAAACATCAAGTGCCACAAAAGGCCGATGGAATATGCTTATAATGTAGATGTACAGTTAAAACCACAGCACCACTCAGCACCTTGACACCTCCTAAATGAAAGACCTACACTTGCAAAAATCTTAAAAACTTATGCTTTGCATGACAAGGTTCCTTGTGAAGTGGAAGGAAATAAAACAACATTTACCTTGTGTGTTTATGACAACACTAACCAATACAGATCTCTACCTCCACTTCCCTGACCACTTCTACTTGGAAACTGATTCGACTAGAAAAGGCATTTTCTTAAAAATCTACAGTCAAGGCCATTGTAAACAGCAAATCAGAGACCAGCATGGTCATCACAGCAATACACATTTTAACATGCTCAGAAGCATCAGCCTCCTTTCTTTCAAAAGAAGCCATAGGGGAAAATAATAAAAAAAAAAAAAACAACAAAGCAACTACATAACAGTCTAGAAAAAACAGAAACAACTGCATGCAAAACATTCAACTTTAGATTTGGGACACAAGATCTTTTTCTGATTTAACCAGATTGTACAACCCGGACTACTTTCACTCTACTAACAGACAAGGAATTTGAAAGCTCTATTTACTAGTCATGCAGGAGAGGTGTTTAAGAAGAAAACAGAACACTTACAGAAGTTAGTCAGCAGCAAAAACTTTAGTGTGTCACTAGAAGTCCTTTTAAAGAGGCAGGTTAACTACAAGAGAAAATTAGTGAGATTTTAGTTGAATCTCTGCAAGAGCATCAACATGCAAAATTGTCTTCTTTCTTTTCTTTTTTTTTTCATATACAAAAGTAGCCTTCAGACAGCCGGCACAGACTTGAATATTTTGCTGTCTCCCACTATTAACACTTCGTTGATGTTTTACAGGACATCCAGCATTAGCAAGTCGTTGCAGGCTCTTAGCAGACTCCCTCGGATTCCTGGCTCTTCCTCCTATTTGCATTTCTGTGGCTCTGGCATCTTGACTAGTCTGGTCGGGGGCAGGTAAAGAATAATGAAAAGCTGCGATTGTGCTGCCGCTAGTGGAAGGGCACATGTAACTTTGTTTTATTTTTTAATTTACAGCTTCCTTTAGAAACCAAACAGAAATTTATGCGTAGCACCAGCTATGAAACCGCTGCGATAACATATCAAACCTGCACCTAAATCACAGAATCATAGAATGGTTTGACTGGAAGGGACCTTAAAGATCATCCAGTTCCAGCCCCCTGTGCCACGGGCACACCTTCAACCAGACCAGGCTCTCACGGCCCCATCCAGCCTGGCCTTGAACACCTCCAGGAACGGGTTGTCAACAACTCCCCTGGGCAGCTGCTCCAGTGTCCCACCATCCTCAGAGTAAAAACTTCTTTCTAATAACCTGATCTAAACCTGCCCTAAGTTTGAAGCCTTCCCCCCGCCTTGTTCTGTCACTACAGGCCTTTGAAAAAGTCTCTCTCCATCTTTCTTCAGGTAGTGGAAAGCCACAATATGGTCACCTCAAAGCCTCTTCTTTTCCAGGCTGAGCAGTGTCAGGTCTCTCAGCCTTTCCACACAGGAGAGGTGCTCCAAGCATAACATCCCCATCTTTTAACAAATACCACATGGCTCTACTTCCTACAGACTGACCAGAAAACAAATGCTAAGATTTATTTTATAATCTTGGGAAAGAAAATTTGCCTTACTGTTGGTGTTCGTCTTGTACAGCACTGTGAGACACTGCTTCACACCAAGCTTGCTGAGAACAGGCAGCAGCGGGAGCGACCCCAATGACAAGTTTATGCAGTGTTATTTAAGCTCTTTTATCCCAAAACAAATAAGACATTCATGCATCGCTTTTGGGCATCTGTGGAGGAAGGAATAAAAAAACCCAACCAAACAAAAAACACTTTCCCCCTGACAAAATGCTCCTCACAGAAAGCTATTCGCAGATGGACTGTGGAGCGCTGTGAGAGGCCTGGATTCAGGAAAACATGACTAGGAGAGATCATCTATATTAAAAAAAAAAAAAAAAAGTGTACATTTATTTATTTATTTATTTTTGGAGGGATGGAGCAACACCTCTCCTATGAGGAAAGGCTGAAAGAACTGGGATTATCAGCCTGGTAAAGAGAAAACTCCAGGATAACCTAACTGTACCTTTCCAGTACCTCACGGGAGCCTACAGGAAAGACGGAGAGAGACAATTTTTAAAAGGGTGTGTAGAGACAGGACAAGGGATGATGACTTTAAAGTGAGAGCAGGCTCAGGTTAGACAGTCGAAAGAAGTTCTTTACTGTGAGGGTGGTAAGCCACTGGAACAGGCTGCCCAGGGAAGCTGCTGGCAGCCCATTCCTGGGGGTGTTCAAGGCCAGGCTGGACGGGGCTCTGAGCAACCCGGGCAGCGCTCAAAAGCGCCTCTGCTGGGGCTGCTCTGAGCAACTTGACCTAGTGAAGGCTCAAGGAATCTTTAAGGTCACGTCCAGCTGTAGGCATTCTATATATATATATACACACATATATATATATACACACATATATACACATATACATATATACGTACATACACACACACATATATATACACTATATATATACATACCATATATACATATATATACACACACCATATATATATATACACTATATACATATACACACTATATATATATATATATATATATATATATATATATTTCCCCACGCAAGCTCAGCCAGCAGCTCGCAGGGAGAAGCCGCGCCGCTCACTTACGTCGAGTGAAACATGGATCCGTCCCTCTCCAAGAAGCCCTCGTAGTGAACCAGCATCAAGTCCCCCCACTTGGTACGCCGGTGGCAGAGGAAAGGCTTGTGCAGCACCTCCACCTTAA